TTGGATCCATAATCAACACCCATGAAAGCAGTGAAGAAATCAGACAACGTATTGCATTGGGTAAATCAGCTGCAAAAGACCTCTTTAAAGTGTTGAAAAGCAAGGATGTTACTTTGAAGACTAAGGTGCCCCTGACCCAAGCCATGGTGTTTTCAGTCACCTCATGTGCATATGAAAGCTGGATGATAAATGAAATAGATCGAAGAAGAATTGATGCCTTTGAATTATGGTTTTGGCAAAGAACATTAAATATACCATGGACTGCCGGAAGAATGAACAAATATGCCTTGGAAGAAGAACAGCCAGAATGCTTCTTAAAAGCAAGTATGGCGAGACTTTGTCTTCTGTACTTTGGACACATTATCAAGAGGGACCAGTTCCTGGAGAAGGACATCATGCTTGGTAAAGTTGAGGGTCAGCGAAAAAGAGGAAGACCTTCAACGAGATGAATTGACACGGTGGCTGCAACAATGGCTCAAGCCCTGCAAAGTTTGTGAGGCTGGTGCAGGACTGGGCAGTTACATTCTGTTGTACGTTGAGTCACTATGAGTCTGAACCAACTCAGTAGTATCCAACAACAACATGAGTGTTTATATAAATAAGTATGGCATAAAAATGGCTCATATAAGCAATCTTGTCATTTTCTATATATTTACTTTTAAAATGCTCAGACTCTAAGGCATCCTTATAAAACTGTGAAATGGCCTAAGTCAGCCGCGTCTTCAAAATGTTTATTACAAAACTTGTCGTCTTAGTCATCTAGCACTGCCCTAACAGAAATACCACAGGTCGATGGCTTTAACAAAGCGAAGTTTATTCTCTCACAGTCCAGTAGGCTATAAGTCCAAATTCAGGGCATCAGCTCCAGGAGAAGCCTTTCTCTCTCTTTCGGCTCTGGAGAAAGGTCCTTGTGATGCATCAGTCTTCCCTTGGTCTGGAAGCATCTCAGCGCAGGAACCTCAGGTCCAAGGATGCACTCTGCTCCGGGCACTGCTTTCTCGGTGGTGTGAGGTTCCCATGTGTCTCTGCTCGCTTCTCTGTTTTGTATCTCAGAAGAGATTGCATTAAGACACTATCTAATCTTTTCAACCTTATCACTATAACCTCATCACAGTGATAAAATTTACAACACATAAGGAAATCACATATAACCTCATCATAGTGATAGAGTTTACAACACATAAGGAAATCATATCAGATTACACAATCATACAATACTGGGAATCATGATCCAGCCAAGTTGACAGATACTTTTGGGGGACACAATTCAATCCATGACATTTATCTTAACAATATGTAGTTACTTCCAAACCAATGTTCATCTTCTCTAAAAAATTTATCTAAAAGAGAACATAGAACAATATAGATGTGAAGAAACAGATATGGTTTTATACAATGAAAATTATATTATGGAATGAAGTAAAAAATGATCTTATTGTTTTATTAAAAATAATTTAGCTGGTCAGAAAAGAGCTATGTATTTCTCAGTCAAGGAGGCTAAAGACAAAATAATAAGTGTGTTATTCCTACCCAGTGGCCATCTGGGCTGAATCTTTTTCTGTATAACATTCCCCAAATGATTAAAAAACAACAAAAAATAGCGACATCACTGGTCTTGTGGCTAACGAGATGCTGAAAACATTGGCTATCAGATGCGAATTTTATTCAGCATTTTAGGATCTCCAAAAACAGAGAATTTGTGGCAGGAAAGGGTGTTTCTATTTATTTTTCCCTATTCCCTACCATCTCCCATTTTTTAATCCTATTTCCTATTTCTCTAAAAAGAAGTCAGTAACTTTCTCCTCCCTTTTTACTGTTTAGGAGGGGCTCTTGTTCCTGGTTCAGTGAGGGGTGTCATTGCGTGCCAGTTGGCCCCTTTCTGGGAGCATGCAAGGGTATCTGGGCCGTGGGGAGGGTAGCCAGTCGGTCCTTGAGTACGATATGCTAGATGCTGCTAGGAGCACAGGTCAAGAGAGTCTAAGAAATTTAGAAACTGATAGTCTCGCGAGATAAGAGCCACACCCGAAAGACTTTCAACTATTTAGTATTTTTTAATGACTGTAATGCGGATGAAAGAACGTGTCGAAGAAAAAAAAAGACAACCTAACCCTTTGCCGTTGAGTGAATTCCAACTCATAGTGACCCTATAGGACAGAGTAGAACTGCCCCATAGGGTTTCCAAGGTTGTAAATCTTTTCAGAAGCCGACTGCCACATCTTTCTCTCGCCCAACAGCTGGTGGGTTCAAACTGCTGACCTTTTGGTTAGCAGCCAAGGGCTTTAACCACTGTACTACCAGGGTTCCTTTAGGGTGGAACTGCCCCACAGAGTTTCCAAGGCAGAAATCTTTTCGGAAGCACTCTACCACATCTTTATCCCACAGAGCAACTAGTGGGTACAATCTGCCCAACTCTTGGTTAACACGCCAGGCTCTTAACCACAGTGCTACCAGGGCTCCTTTGATAAGATATACCAAAATCCAAGCCTGTTGCCATCTAGTAGATTCTGACTTACAGCGACCCTACAGGACAGAGTAAAACTGCCCCATAGCGTTTCCAAGGAGTGGCTGGTGGATTCAAACTGTGGACCTTTTGGTTAGGAGCTGTAGCTCTTAACCCACTATGCCACCAGAGCTCCTTAATAAGATATACTCCCCCATAAAAAGAAACTGGCCATTAAAGTGAAATTAGAAGGTTCATGTCTTAGTTATCTAGTGCTCCTATAACAGAAATACCACAAGTGGGGGGCTTTAACAAACAGAAATTTATTCTCTCACAGTTTAGGAGGCTAGAAGTCCAAATTTAGGGTGCCAGCTCTAGGGGAAGGCTTTCTCTCTCGGCCAGCTCTGGAGGAAAGTCCTTGTCTCTTCTGAGCTTCTGCTCCTGGGTGATCTTCATGTGGCTTGGCATCTCTCTTCCCCCATGTCTGCTTGCTCACTTGCTTGTTTAATCTTTTATATCTCAAAAGAGGTTGACTCAAAATACACCCTATTCCTGCCTCATTAACATAACAAACATAACCTAATCCTCATTAACATAACCTAATTCTACCTTATTAATATAACCAGCATAACCCATTCACAAATGGGATTATAACCACAGGCAGAAGATAGGATTTACAACAAATCACAAAATGGAGGATAATTACATCAGATCACAAAATGGAGGACAACCACGCAATACTGGAAATCATGGCCTCGCTAAATTGACACATATTTTACAGTGACACAATTCAATCCATAGCAGTTCACTTGGTGGAAAGTTGTTGGAATGGGAAGACTAGAAAATAGGAGATCAGCAGAGAATAGAAGGGGACAGACATTAGCTGGCTGGCAGAACAAGGAAACACCCCGGAAATCCATATCATATTATTATCCCTACATTTTTATTGCAAAGCAGATATTAATTTAATCTGGTTTAATATGGTAATTTATTCCCTTTTTATGCTCCCATAAGGACCAGCTCCCATAGTTCTGTCTTGCTAATTCTCTACTTCATGACCCAACATTGTGAAAATATACCTACCTTGCTCTTGTGAGCTTCTATAGAAAATGCCACCCGGTTTTCTTTCCCTTACTTTTCTTGCTGTTTTCCTTTAATGGAATCTACTTATAGTGCCATTCACTTTACTGCTGATTCTTGTGGGGGGAGCAGTAGAAGTCTCATAGATGCATGCTTGAAATTCCCGAAGGCACATAGTCAGTTGAAATTTAATGGATTCCAAATGGTAGCACAACTACAAAAATAATCCAATAAGTAAATACATAACTGTGCAGGTAAAACTGAAGGATGTAGACTACCGTTCCAGGACTGACAGTAACAGAGTAAGAGAACATCAAAGAAATCACTCTTTCCCTGGGCTAGGAGGACTTTGGGCTAGGAGAGGCTGGAAGCAAGGAAAGCTGTGAAATCTGGAACTGACGAGATGGAATCACAGTGATAAAGCCTCTGCAGGTGAGCAAGAGCCACATCTCTGCCACAGCCAGGGAAAACACTCCCCAGCACAAATTCCAGCCATGTAAGAACCAAATCGATTGTTTTCTTTCAGTATCTGGATTATTTGAATAATATAGCTTATATTGGATGCAAATAGGGGAATTTTTTATTGTTTGCTTGTTTGTTTTTTAATTCCAGGTTTGAGCAAACGACTTAACAAGCAATCCCAAGGTTTTCTGGAATTAGACCTTCCTAGAGCTTGTCTGGAGGGGCTCTGGTGGCGCAGTGGTTAAACGCTCGGCTGCTAACCGAAAGGTTGGCAGTTCCAACCCACCAGCCGCTCCGCAAGAGAAAGATGTGGCAGTCTGCTTCCATAAAGATCTACAGCCTTGGAAACCCTACAGGGCAGCTCTCCTCTGTCCTGGAGGGTCGCTGTGAGTCGGAATCGACTCAGCGGCAGTGGGAAATGGAGAAGCTTGTCTACAGCATCGGAACTTCACTAGTTCTCGGTACCCTTGCAAGTCTGCATAGTAACGGCCTCCTGCATAGTAACCATATCTGTGACTCGGCGACTTCTTTTTGTTCACAGGAAAGGCCTTGAGTTGCTCTCTCTGTGTTCCTGAGAAACTCCCTAAACAAAAGATATTTTTTCCCCTTCCGTAAATAGGTCAGAAAGGGGAGTGCATTATTGGCTACATATATTCTCATTTACTACATAATGGCTTAGTACCTTTCCTCCTTAGCCTCCCTCTGAATCTAAAGCTAGCGTCAGTCCTAAAATTTATAGCTTTCTCATAACCTACAAAAATGTTGGTGCCTTACAGCTTTGTATAAGAGCCTTGGGATTATTAGAGATCCTATGCCTTATGATAACATTTTAGAAATGGCTTTAAACACGTCTTTTAAGCAGATAGATAAAGTGATTTTCCTATAGCTTGCAATCAGTTTTGGAATTAAAACTGCCTGAATGGGTATTTTTTTTCAGGACAAAATAATGCAGGTTAAGTGAGCATTCTCGGTATCTAAGTTCCCTGTTCCTCTTTTTTGTCTTTCTTCCTGTTTTCAGCTCTCTGAGAAGTATGGAGTCCATGTTTGTGGAGAAGGTGGAGAATATGAAACATTCACTTTGGATTGCCCTCTATTTAAGAAGAAAATAATCGTGTAAGACACCGTTTCATTCTTCCCATTCCTTACACTTAAGTGAGGGAAGCAACTTAACTTGAAGCTTAAGGCAACTTTTGTTGGGAGAAATAGAACATCTCCCCTCAGTTCACAGACACTCAATTTGTTTGATACTGGTGAAGTCGTCCGAATACCTACATCAATACCTGACAAAATGAGGCCTTCATAGAAAGCTGTAAACTTTCCAGACATTGCGCTTTCGTTTACTTGCTGATTATGGCCTGCAGTAAAACTGGTACCTACACACTGACACGTTTATCCTTTCATGAAGTGTGAATTGCCTGTATTATTTATCTTTCATTACAGCTACATTTGATAAACTGCGACATCAGTAGCCTTGGGTTCCATTCCCTCCATCCTCTTTTTCCTTTTTCTTGGTGTGAACAACTTCGAATGGTAATACTAAACATTTCTCTTCAATTATTTGGGGTTATTTTTTACATATAAACTTTGTTTTAAATGAATTCCATTGATGGTGACTGGCGTAATTTCTTTGCCATAAATTGTTAAAATGAGTCTAAGGAAAAACAGGGACTTTTCTTCCGTTTGTTACATTGTTATCCGAGCTCTAATTTGCGTAGCTCTCTTTGTATGCTACGAGAGCACTCTATCTGCTTTTCCTAAGCTTTCACGCTTCTTGGGAAAGATTGTCGGAATTATGCTTGATTTCAAAAACTTTATCTGATGAAAGATTGGAATTGTGTGTTGAATGCACAGCTCCTATATTTTCAACACTAAGAGCCAACTTCTTTGTACGTATAAATAATGAGAGAAGGGGTGATATAAGAAAATTAAGACCACCCCAGGTGGATTTTCTAAAATGTACATATATCTGGTGAAACATAACCAAGTCATTTTCCTTATGATATTACAGTATTCACCCATTCTTGTTTCCTTCTTGTTATTCTAACTTCCTTATCAGTAATAGTAATCTTGTAATGATAATATGTTTGGCAAATATTTATCAAGTACCTATTAGGCCGAAAGCATTCCATTGGGCATCACCGATGTCAAAGATAGTTCGTGCTTTCAAAGGGCTGAGAGGAAAACACGTCTGTCTGTAGTCATGCCGCTCTTGTTTGTTGCCATACAAGGCGGTAAATGAACAGAGCCATAAGTTCGTAGATGGGAAATTTTACTTCTGGCCCAGATGATCCCAAAGTGATTCATGATGAGGTATGCATGAGCTGTTACTTCTATGAAATAATATTGTTTGGTTAATCAAGAAATAATTTGCATGCTAGGGTGAAATTATAGTATAAGGGGAAACTTGCAGTATATTTACTTGTTAATATGGGACTAACCAAATTAGGAAAAAAAGTACAACAGTAAGAGAAAGAAAATGTCAAAGCATGTAATTTTCCCCTTTGCCCGGAGACTTGAGGTACGGAACATCTAGAGTCTTTATTAACAACCCAGAATTCTAAGACATTTACGGATTGAACTGTGTCCCCAAAAAATATGTGTTGTAAATCCTAGCCCCTTTGGCTGTGGTTATAATCCCATTTAGGAGTGTGTTGTCTTTGTTATTATGTTAATGAGGCAGGATTAGTGTAGGGGGTGTCTCGAGTCAATTTCTTTTGAGATGTAAAAAGAAATTAAACAAGTGAGCAGAGAAGAGATGGGGGAAGATAGATGCCAGGGCACATGAAGATCCCCCAGGAGCAGAAGCTCAAAGAGACAAGGACCTTCCTCCAGAGCCGACAGAAAGCCTTCCCCTAGAGCCGGCACCCCGAATTCAGACTTCTAGCCTCCTAAACTGTGAGAGAATCAATTTCTGTTTGTTAAAGGCCAAAAAAAAAAGATTACAGCCTTGGAAACCCTATGGGGCAGTTCTATTCTGTCCTATAGGATTGTTGTGAGTCAGAATTGACTCGATGGCAGCGGGTTTGGTTTTGTGTGTGTGTTTAATGGGGATAAGTGTGAGTCTATGGGGATTCTGTATATACATTTTGGTGAGTACAGGATCATATGTCTGAGCAAGAGAAGTAAACAATGCCTCAGCCCCAAAGCGGCACCGTTGTCTTTTTACTGGATAGGTAGGAACAGAGAGCATGGCTGGTCTCGAGAGATAATGCCGTTTTTCTCTTTTGAAATGAGGGATAGAGCCTGACCTGACGCTCCAGGAGTCTGGCATTGGGTAGGAGAGGCTTGGTCTTGATCAGCTGCCCTGTTGAAGCTGTAAGCAGGCGTGAAGCACGTGCAGCAGTGAAAGGGAACGGGCGGGGTCTCCGCTGCGGGGAAGCCTCAGGTGGACGAGACGCACTGATCACTGGCAGCAGTAAGAGGAGGCCAGCCAGCTGGAAAGTGTTTGTGCTGTGGCACAGTTGTTCTCAACGGTCTGGGTCAATCTAAGGACAGTTCAGCAGATCCCGCCTCTGGATTTCAGGGATGGGGAGATCCATGGAGCCGCTGGAGACCAGCCATCGTCAGAAGTTGTTCCAGGTGACAGATGGTGTACAGAGGTGAAAAGAAGAGCAGTGGTGGCATTATCCTGAGACCCTACACTGTTCAGTTGAGATCAGTCTCCCCCAGTTGACCCTGGCTTTGTACAAGTGAATGGAATGATGATAGGTAGAGATTATCGATTTAATAGAAACCGTAAAAATTGCATTCTTCTTCACTGAGTGCTCAGAATGCTGTGTATTTTCTCTGGATAACAATTTCAAGTCAGAATGCAGTAATTACATCAATAAGTGAGCTGTTTGCTGTCGACCTTCTATTTCTAGTGGAGATAACTGTCATGAGAAGAGAGGGCTTGTAACCCTTTCTACGGAGGTAGTATTGGTTAGGGTTAATTATAGTTTAGGTGCACTCCATTTCAAGGATATCAAAACCAAGCTGCTTAGTTTAGGCGTAATTAAGGAAGAGGGTCAGTTTCCAAGGTGGGGTCAGAAGCAGAGACATTGAAATTCGACGTAAGAGTGAGATCGTAAACAGGAGTTGAGGTTTGATTCTGGTTGCTAAATCAAGATAGGAACGGCACTGATAACCCTAAAGGAAAAGGAGAAAGAAGACTAGGGCCAACAAACCAAAAGGGGGACACGCCAGAGGGTAAGAGGGCCTCCTCCTCACTTCCTCCCCTCCTCCTCACTGTAACTCTGGGCAGCTTTTTGCTGCCTCACGGTGGTTGAAATGTAGCCTGTGAGGTCAGGTTTTATCTTTCCATAGGACCCTCTGTAATGATTCTGTTGTGTCCTCAGTTGCTTTCCCGTTAAGCTCCTAGAAGCCATTCTTCAGGTTGCTTTTCCTGATCATTAACAAGACGTATATCTGATACTACAGGTTCACGAATGATCTTTTATTTTAAAATCAAACATTTTTTATCTATCTTAACTCTTCCAAGTGGAAGGTAAGATTTTGTTCATGAAAATTTAACATTTTGGAGGTAAGTATATTGAAGTCTCTTCTATGGCACTAATTAACTGCATTACAAACTTGATTTGAAAATTTTTTAAATTTATTTTGTTGTATTACTACTGTTAAAATGCTCACAATGAATTAATATGAACAATGTTACTAATTCCCAAAGCATTAAAGAGATACGAGGTATTTCTATTTTTAAAACTTCAGTTGAGATGCAAAACATTATCGCTTTCTTAATAAACAACAGTAAAAAGTAGTTACTAGAACTTCACACATACTGTTAGTTACTCATGTGTGCTTTACAGGATATCTTTGATAAAAGCTGAGTAAATTTACATGTATGCATACGGTGCCAGCAAGCAGTTGTTCCCATTGTACCTGAACGTGGTAATTACTATGTCAGACAATCGATATTAATAGCAATGATGTTGCAGTGCGAGGAGTTCATCTAGAGCTAAAACCCACCACCGGTACTGCTTCTGGGAGGGATAACTGAGATTTCGTATGAAGCACTGAGTGAATTACTTCTTGAAAATGCAAAGAATAATGACAATAAAGCACGATTTAATATTTATTCCTTACCAAGCAACTTCGTGCAAATGAAACTGAATAGAAGTTTAAATCTCAAGAAGAGCTCTGAGTGGACCTGAAAGTTGAACTCTGTGTCCTTATAAAGAGAAAAAGCCACCATTGCTTTTTCTTGAAAGTTTTGTGTTCCCAGTCCTTTTTTCAATTAAGTGTTGGATTCTTAAAAATAGATATTAATCACTATACGTTGTGTATCAGTGGAAATAAATACAAAGGGAGGATTGTAGGTCTCTTCTAGTTGGTAGCAGGAGTGATTTGCCACAATTTATATAGTAGTTAAATGCCTTATAAAATGTTTGTATTTCAGAGATTCATCTGAAGTAGTCACCCATTCAGCTGATGCATTTGCACCTGTAGCATATCTACGCTTCTTAGAAATGCATTTGGAAGACAAGGCAAGTAAACCTAAGATTCATGGGGATTTCAGTAGGAGATAGATACGTACATTGGCTCTACAAATATAATTCTATACCACCAGATCCAAGGGTAAAAAAACGATTTTATTATTAATGAATTTTTTTTCAGATCCTCAGTCAATAAAAAATAATTTTACGTATTTGAATAGTTTCGAGTACAAAAGATAGTACAGTTCTGAAGATACTGCAGATCGGTTGGACATTGGACGCAAACGAGAAGACAGAACATAGACAAATATTAAATCATCTCGTAAACTAAGGGTGAGGTTTATTGGGTATAAGCATTAGGAGGAATCTGAGGATGAATTGGATCTTCACTATACAAAGTTTAAAAAGGGAGGGAAAGGAGAAATACAAACTTTTCAAAAATATATCTAGAGAAACAAAAGTGAAAGATGGAAATAAGATAGATGGAAAATGGGGAAGAGACATGCAGAGTTTTATTTTAAATACATCGATTGTCCAGGTACAGCAGAATGTTGATTTAAAGATGTTTTGTGGAATAGGTGGGCTGGATGTGGATTAGGTTAGGTTGAAAGATCTGATCCTTGACAGATCTGCACTGTATTTATCACCATGGAAATGTTAGCTGAAATTATGTGAGAAAATGAGAGTAGGGACAGAAAAAAGATTGCGATAAACCCTCTCGTCTTTCGCATCGTATCACCAAATCTCGAGGCACACCCACGGTCGTGCGGCAGGTGATCTGAACAGCCCACCGCGCTCGTGCGGTAGGTAATCTGAACAGCCCACCGCGCTCGTGCGGTAGGTAATCTGAACAGCCCACCACGCTCGTGCGGTAGGTAATCTGAACAGTCTACAGGATTAATGAAGCAGGAAAAGAATGAGAATGCCAGAAATCTCAGGATGGGAGAGTTTTCCGAAGTAGAGACTAGTTACCGGTGTCAATTCTCCATAAAAATTAGAATGGACAGGATTGAAAAGACGTCATTGAATTGGGCTAGAAAATGACTATTGGCAACCTTTTATTCAGAAGCTGGTAACCCTCAAGAGAATGAAGTTATACCATCCAAAAATCTTTCAGACCCACTGAAAGGGACCCCTTGCTTCTAGGTCTCTATTGCTTTTGCTACCTATGTACATATATACAGAATATCAAAACCACTGAATTCTTGTTTAGACGCTTCTGCCATCATATATGTGGTCAGCTCTACCTGAACAGCTCGCTCACTATTCACCTGGTGGTTTTGATGTTTCATTGGTCTTCACAGTCCATTTGCCTGTTGCAGGAAGCAGTGTTACTTCCTGAAGGTGGGATATTTACTGACACTGAATAAATGAGTGTATTTTCCTTCTTTTTTCTTTTTTTTTAGGTGTCGCCAGTGCCTGACAACAACAGAACATCTAATTATATACATAATTCTTGAAAAACGTTTTGCACATGGTTTACTAAACTGCCATTTCTATTTGAAACCATACCATAACATTTTCTCAATTATTGACCAGCTTTTTCTTACTACGGTTTTTTGTTTTGTTTTGTTTTTGGTTATTTACAAACATATACTTTCATCAGAAGAAGTTAATGGAACCATTCATTTATTGGGGAAATGTGAATGTCTTGTTCATTATTTGTACTGCCAGCTTCCTCAGGATTCACTCTTTCTCTGTCCTTCTGTTAATACATCCTCCTCATCTGTGAAATGTATGAATATGATCCATGGGATACCTGTGTTTTTTTCTTTTTACCTCGTATCCCACACTCATTTCTGTAACCTTCTTCGCTCTCGTCCCAGTTGTTTCTTTCCCTCTTTCCTGCTGCCATCTCTGCCCCTTCTATCATGATGCAGAGGCATTTGAAATGAAGATAGGAAGACAATCACTTCATTTAGCCAATCAGGCTTATTCTAGTGGGTGTCACCAAAGTGATGTATCATTCTTGGTTTGAATGTATTCATGATTGAAGAGTTTAAACATTATTGGTCAATCAGGAAAAATACCATTGACTCTTACAGATTATTTTATAATCGATAACAAAGTGCAATTTTTTAGTATTACTTGTGCTGACCTAAATAACTTTCTTTTGTCTTCAATGTTATAACTTAATGTTAATGTTACCTCAGTTGGAACTGTTTTTTGTAGCAAATAACAGGCTGTGAGGTAGGAGCTTATTGTAGCAACCGGAAATTTTACATCCTCTTGGTGTGAATGCAGAGGGAAATACTGAGTTACCTTCCCGGAAATCCTATTGTATCTCATTGACTTTGGATTAATTACTACGTCCATCCATAAGTCAGTCATAGGGTCCAAGGTACAGCTCTGGCCAAGTCATCCGCTTTACTTCCAAGCTACCCAGGCAGTAAAGAAAGTGGTTCTCTAGAGGAAAAGCAAATTGGGCTTACCAAGAGAACGGTGAATAGAGGCTGAAGAGCAAAACTAACACTCACCCACAAAATCACATTGCCATTTCCAACGCAAATTAACAGTCATCCCCAAATAACAGTGATGCCTAGAATGTTGAATACTCTGAAATCTATCTGTTCCCTAAATTTGCTTCAGTTTCCATTTGCTCTATAACATATTTTCAGTCCAGTTTGATCTCAGTTACTTTGACGAAATTCTGTTGGTCTTTCCTCGTCTACATAATCTTTAATCTTTTTCTTTGATCATATTGGCCACCATCTCCTTCTTGAAATTTTCCCGCATAACACTTCCATACCACTGAACTATTCTGACTTTTTTCTGCTCTTCTCCAGGTTTCTTCTGTCTTCTTTAGTAGCTTCTCTTCTTACCTTCCACATGTACGTATATCTCAAGTTCTGTTTATGGTTCCTTTTTTTTTCCCCAGTATTTTTCTTAATTTTGTCTGTTCCCACTATTTTAGTTATCACCTCTATGCAAATGACTCACAAATCACTCTGTTTCAAGTCTGTCTACTAATCCCTCTTCTTTCTCCTTACCCCTGCATGCTTATTTCTGACTAGCTGTCTGACACACAGCCAGTATGCCTCTATTTCAGTATGTACAAACCTTGAACTCATTGTCCCCTCCAGGTGTACTTTGCCCTGTTTTTGTTGTTTAACCCGGCTGTTTCCCCCTAAGTAACTCAGGCACAGAATATTGACGTCACCTCTGACAGCTCTTTCTCAGTTACCATCTACGTTCAGTTGGCTACCTAACCCTTCATATTCTAGTTCTCAATGTCTCTCACACCATTCGATCCTCATGCCCATCCCTCTCACTACAGTTGTATGTTGCCCGAGAGTTTAGGCAAGATACAACTTCTTTCAGTGGTCTCCTTACATTCATTTTCTCTCTGTTCTATTCCACTGATGTATTGATTTTCCTTTCTGGTTTTTACCTCCCTGCACAAAACCCCACAATACTGCTAGATTGTCTTCTAAATAAATAAAGTATTTCACAGTGTCTTAAAGACCATCTGACAGGCTCCCTTAGTAACATCCTTTTTCAGTTTTGTTTCAATAACTCTCCTACATGTATCCTTTGCTTCAGTAATACCAAACCAATAAATACTCCCTTACTATGCCCTCTGCTGGGGGCCCTGGTGGCACAGTAGTTAAGAGCTTGGCTGCTAACCAGAAGGTCACCAGTTCAAATCTACCAGCCACTCCTTGGAAACCCTTTGGGGGGCAGTTCTACTCTGTCCTATAGGGTCACTATGAGTTAGAATCAACTCGAGGGCAATGAGTTTTTCTTTTTTTTTTAATACCCTCAGCTACTCTGTTTGCCTTTGCTGATTGTATTTTATCTGCCTTCCTTTTTTCTTCCCTTCCTTTAACTGTTTGCATCCTGCCCATGATGCAAGACTGACCTCAGATATTTCATGCATTTAGTCACATGCAGATGAATTGGCCGGTCCTTCGTTTCTCTTCCCTGTGACTACTAAGTTTATTCACCTTTGTATCATAGAGTTGTTTGAGGGCATATCTTATTATTTCTGCTAAGTTATAAATTTCTTGAGGACTGGGATTGTTTCTTTTTCATCTTCATACCCTTTGTAACAGTTGTTAGTTCAAATAAAAATTTCGAATTTAACTAATTATTTGTTATCGTCCGTTGTTTTTTCTCCTTACAGACTTTCAATAGACGCGTGCATCCGTTTCATTTTGCACATCATTTAATGGCAGTCACTTTACTTGTTTATTTTTCTTTTATATCTTATAAAAGAAAAATGCACCAGGCAAACTAGAAGGTAACATGCAGCTTTTAGAGAGGTTGTTAGTATAAATTTTAAGTTATCACCAAGATTTTTTATTTTATATGTGACGACCCTTAAACTTTTCTGTTAAATAATTGATCTGTTTGAGTTTTACCTTTAAGTAAAATCTTACTTGTGTGAGTATAAAACTGATATCAACTAAACATGGAATCCCAAACAAAATAACTGAATAATGGAAAGCTCTCGGTTAACAATGGGGAAATACATTAAAATTTCTTTGTGGCCCTGACTTCATTGCTTATGGCAAACTTGATGCTAAAGTATACCATATATCACTACAGTGACAAGCTTGAGAAAATGAAAAACACAAAGCTTTGCATAAATCAACCTAAAAATCATATTAAAATGCATAACCTTTCACAGAAGAATCAAGATTTTTAGTTTTAACTATTCACAAGCTATTCTGCCTTGTGTAGTTGATTTTCAAACAGCTTTATGGGAAATCATGTTTCAAATTAGTTGTTGACAAAGCCATTGTATTTTTAATGGGACAGCGTTCACAGAAATTTAGCCCCAAGGTTACTGATGTACCCTGCTATCACTTAGTACTTAATTTTTAATTTTGTTGATTTAATTTTATGAGTACTAATGTACCCTAGGAGCCTGGTGGTATAGTGCTTAAGAGCTCGTCTGCTAACCAAAAGGTCAGCAGTTCGAATCTACCAGGCGCTCCTTGGAAACCTGTGGGGCAGTTCTCCTCTGTCCTATAGGGTCTCTATGAGTCGCAATTGACCCAACTGCAGTAGGTTTGGTTTTTGTTTTGTTTTGTTTTTTAATGTACCCTGTTATCACTTGGAGACCCTGGTGACGTAGTGGTGAAGAGCTATGGCTGCTAACCAAAAGGTCAGCAGTTCAAATCCACCAGTCGCTCCTTGGAAACCCTATGGGGCAGCTCTACTCTGTCCTATAGTGTCACTATGAATTGGAATCGACTCGACGGCAACAGGTTTGGTTTTTGTTTTTTGGGTATTATCACTTAGTACTTAATTTTGTTTTTATTGAAATAATTTCGTGGGACAATTATATATATTTTTTATATAATTATAAAAGCTCACATTCTTAAAAGTTGTAAATTTTGAACAATACCATTGATCTCAAAGCCCGTTCTTTGCTCTTTCAGATTATTTTGCTTTATTTCAGAAATACCAAATATTTTGAAAAACTTCATAACATTAAACTATCCTTGTACTTTTATTTTTCCCTTCAATTCGACATATACCTATGAGCATCTGCCTTGTTTTAAAAACTGTGTGGGTCTACATGGGATTCACTATAAATATGGGCAAATTACAGAATAATTCTAACTTTAAGTTGAAGTAATTATCAGTAATTACAGTGACAGGTATCCTTAGTTTGGCTAATCTAAACTAAAGTTGTAGCCATAAGATACTGTTGATTCCAAGGGGAAGAATGATGTGTATTTTATGGTCCTGTTTTTCTAAAAACTAATGGTGGAAGCAGGGAGCTTACATATTTATTCGTGTTTGAATGAGGATAGTAAGAAGTGGGGCATGTAATCACAAGACTGATAATACTGGTTTCTTTGGGAAGACAGGAAAGAAGAAAACAGAGAAGCTTAATTCTTCTATAATTTGTGACTTCTTAGAATGGGCATACATTTTTAAATCTGAAAATATTTGATAAAGAAAACAGAGAGTGTACTGAGTTCTAGTGCCAAATAAATTTTAAATTTTATCCTACAACGTTTTAGCAGTCTAGGTGACAAGAGGCCCTGATAAGAGCCCTTAAAAGCTTTCCATAGAACTCACATGAAAGCAGTATCCACAAGTAAAAGTTGAAATCTCGTTAATCCTAAAGTACAAAAGTCTAAGCAGAGGCTCCTGGGAATAGTATATGAATCCAAGATGCCTGCAAGTTTTGAGATGGCTGGCCTCCTGAGTATATTCTGCACCAGAATTTCCTCTCACTGCTCATAGCTACGTGTATAAATTCAGCAGTCTCCTCCATGGAGATAACGGCTGCCACTGTCTGTAAATCAGAACCAAACCAGCTGCTGTCGAGTCAGTTTCAACTCATGGCAACCCCACGTATGCAGAGCAGAACTGCATTCCGTAGGGTGATCAAGGCTGTGTGACCTTGCAGAAGCAGATCACCAGGCTTTTCTTCCTAGGTGCTTTTGCATCGGTTTGAACCACCAACCCTTTTGGGTATTAGTTGAATGCTTAACTATTTGAGCCACCCAGGGACTCCTACTATCGCTACAACAACAACAAAAAAGCCATTGCCATCAAGTCGATTCCAACTCATAGCGACCCCATAGGACAGAGTAGAACTGCCCAGTAGGGTTTCCAAGGAGCGGTTGGTGGATTCAAACTGCTGACCTTTTGGTCAGCAACCAACACTTAACCACTGCACCACCAGGGCCCCAAATGGGACAGAGGAAGGGGATAAAGGATGACTTTTATTCACCAACCTTTGGTTCAGCGCTACTTCCTTTTTTTTTGTCCACCTTACTACCAGGCTAACAGGCAGAAAAACAGATTTGGTAAGAGGGAGCAAGGCACTTAGGAGAGTTTAAAATCGATTGTTGTAAAACCTAAATAATATGATTTGGGCTGGCATGGTTCTTGGGCCTTAGGTACCACTTGGCCACTGCTGCTACAAATGGTCACTGGGGCAGATTATTAAATCAAGCATCAGATTCATGTCAGTCATTGCAATGGCCTACACCTGTGTTAGGAAGTGGGGAAACAAACTGGGCAGTGGAGGAGTGTTCTTGTACCCTGTATCTGTGGGAGACTTATCCATTTGTGGGAGAGTAATAACAGATTAACCAATCAGTTGATTTCCTTCTCTGCTTTCAAACTCTAATGGACTATTTTTTGTTTAACTCGTTTAGTTATTATGTTATCCTACGCAGCTTTTGTTGTGATTGTTATTATTCTTGTTGTCATTGTTTTAAGAAGTAAAGTTTCTGATTTATGTTTTCATAAAGTTTCTATTTGGTAATTTCTTATAAAAGAGACATTGCATACTATTTATTCATTTGACAGATACTTAGTAATAAGTGTGCACTGTTGTTAGCCTGGCACTATTTAGACACTGGAGGTGCCCTAGTGAATTGGACAGCCAAAAGGTATTGCCTGCATCCAGCTTACATGCAGTGGAGTGAGACAGACAAATAAAATCTATCGGATCAAGGGGTGGTGGAAGAGTTGCTTTACTGCCCATGGATATGGGGATTGCATCTTAAGGGATGAGCGTGATCTGGGAATTCTGGGATTCATGTGGTGAAAGATTCAAACCCAAACTGAGAGTAATAAATCTAATCCTTTTGGACTGAAGCCATATGGTGGTAGTGAGCTGTGAGTGTTAGGGGAAGGGGAAAAGGGGGCAGAGTCTTATCAGGAGAATGTAGACCCAGCCAGTGATTCAGGGAACTGGAAGATAGGGCAGAAGAAAATATGCAGAATGAAGCATGGAGAGAAACAAAGACAGAAAATATACATTAGAGAATAAGATACATAGAAACAGTGAGAAGGTCTAAAATACATGTAATTAGTGTCAGAAAGAGAAGAGAGGGATAATGGGAAAGATGCAATATGCAAAAGATAATGGCTGAAATTCTGTTCTGCAGTTCACCATTTTGATCAGGATTCTTCTATAGAATCTTGTAATCAAAATATACCCCAACGTTCTGGAGCCATGGAGGCTGGATGAACTCCTGAAACTATGGCTCTAAAATAATCTTTAAACCTTAAACCTCAAATCCTAAAGTCTTCTTACAACCAAACAATAGTTTAGCTTAAGTAGTAAAGAATGTCTGCCTTGAGCATTGTGCTCTTTTAAGATCTATCTATATGGGCTCAGGTTGACAACAGGAACTCGAAAGACTAGATAGGAACCTTAGGGGGCAGTGAGTTTATATTAATAGGGAAGAAGCAATTCGGAAAAGGAGGGCGAAAATGGTTGCACAACTCAAAGAATGTAATCAATTTCTCTGAATTGTGTATGTAGAAATTGTTGAATTGGTATGTGTTCTGTGTATATTATCAACAACAACAAAAATAAATTTTAAAATAAGATGAAAAAAATAATGGCTGAGAACTTTCCAGAATTGATGAGACATACCAAGTTACAGATTGAAGAAGTTGTATGAATCTCAAACAAAAAGGCACATCATGGAAAAACTGTTGAAAATAAGGACAAAGAAAAAAAATTGAAACAGTCAAAGTTGGTTAGAATGAAACCTAGCTTTTCTGCAGAAAAATCAAAGCCAAAAGAATGGAATCATATCTTTTAAGTGCTACATGAAAATACCTGCCATCCTAGAATTCTGTACTCAGAAAAATATCCTGCAAGAATAAAAGTGAGGGAACTTTCAGGGATTATAATAATACATTTATCAAAACTAACTGAA